CGCCCTGATGACCGGCCAGGGAGCACCTCTGCCGTCCATGCGCTCCCAGCACACCAGGCCACCGCAGACTCACAGCCAACCTGTCCTCTCTGCCCACCTCCAGCAGGAGCTCTGAGACGGCAGTGAACTCGTCCCTCCCTGGAGCCCTCACCCCGGCCTGGACAGTGTGTCCCAGCAGTGTGCTGCATGGCCTCTGTGGCTCCAACCCTGGCGCTAGGGGTCCTCAAGCAAATGATAGGACCCCTCTGGGCCTGGTTTCCCCGCCTGAGCAAGAGGACAGCAGAGGCTGAAGTCCTGGGGTTTGCGCACTGAATGGCTCTCGCAGGCACAGCCCTCACACCGTGTATGTGCTGGAAAGACAGGCGGTCTGAGGCCGGGTCAGCGGGAGCTCCATCCCCAGCGGCTGCTCTGGGACCTTGTCCTGGTGGCTGTCAGGCTCTGAGTCTCCCAGTGACACTGGTGGCGCCCTGCCTAGCAGGGCCTTGTCATTGAGATTCCCTGGCTGTGTCCGGAGTCATGCGCCAGCCCCGGGGCTGGGGAGGGGTACTATCTGGGCAGGCTGACTCAGGGCTCCCAGGCCCCTCTGTGCTCCCCCACTTCCTCCTTGCCATTCCAGGGACACAGGTCTTGCCTTCTCCCTGGGCCTCCTAGGGCACATACCTGCAGCCTCCCGCCCCCACCCCAGAAGTGCGTTCTGCGCTCTCTGAGGGGCCTGCTGCCTGGCTGTTTTGGAGGCCCCTACACACCCTTGTTCCCAAGTTGACACCTTCTCTCCTGGGGGAGGCGGCCTTGTGTCAACAGGCAGAGTGGAGGTGTGAAGGCAGCCACAGTGGCCAAGGGGGCGGCTGGCCTGGCCCTCCCTGCTCGGCTGGTAATGAGAATACCACACGGCCCCTGCAGCCCCCAGCAGCCTGCCTATCTCCTTCCCTCCCACGTTCCCACAGCCCGGAAGGGAAAGAAGACCTATGGGGCAGAGGCAGGCCTTAACCTGGCTCCAGCTCCTTGGACCTGCTCCCGGGAGCCCGGCACTGCCTGCCCAGGAAGAAGGAACAGGTGGGGAACGGGAGCCGGGGTTGAACAAACGGTGAGGCCTGTGCAAGACCACTAAGAGCAGGTCCTCCCATGGCCCTGAGCGCGCCAGAGCTGCAAGAGCATGTTCGGGACCCAGCCTGGGCCTCTGCCCTCCTCATCTGGCCGGTGCTCGGGGGCAAAGTCCTGGGAAGCCAGTAAGGGGATGATGGGATGGAGGCCTTAGTGTCCTCACCTATATAAGAGGAACGTTGAAATGGGCGCTGCTGGGCTCACAGCATCAAGCTGACTGGTGCCACAGAGGGAAGCTCAGCCAAGGGTCACGGTGGCCTTGTAGTTCCAGCCCCAGAGTAGGCTCAGCTGAGCCAGAGCTTGAGGCACAGGGGAGAGCGGGGCTGGGGTGTTAAGAGTGCTTCTCGTGCCCTTGATGCCTGTAAGGAATGGCTGCTACGCCCTTTCTAAACCTGCTGCTATTCACATGCTGCCGGAGCGCGGCTGGGGTGTTAAGAGTGCTGACGCACGTGTGGCCTCATTCTGCCCTCCCCCAGCCAGGATGCCCTGAAGGGTCCCCTGTGGCCTCTGCACCCCGAGAGTGCCCAGAGGCCTGAGGTGGCAGCTCTTGTTCTCTCCCTGATTTATGGCCTCAGCTCTAAAAGTACCTTGAGATTCTCAGGTCCAACCCCTTTGTTTTACAGAGCTTGGCAGAAGCAATAACCATGATCCACTGCACTCTATGTGCCTACAGGGTAGTGATCATCTCCAGCACAGGCCACTCACTCCCAAAACAGCCCCTCTGATCTTAGAAAGTTCTTCAGACTCCCCCTGGAGTTTTTTCCTCCGGGCATCTGGAGACATCACATCTCTAATTTTTTTTTTCTTTTTAGACAAAGCAGCCCCAGGTCCTTCAGCTGTTTCTTTGTTGATCTGGCTTCAAGCCCCTCACCACCCTCCCTTCCCTGAGTTTATCCCCATTCCTCATAAACTGCGGCCCCTGGGCTTTCCCCGCTTTCTCTGGGTATGGTTCACCATGCCTGGGGAATAAAAGACCAGTCTCCAGTGGTTGGAGACCCCGTTTCTTGCCAGTGGGAAGGGGATCACATTTGCTTCTCGTGCCCTTGATGCCTGCAAGGAATGGCTGCTGCGCCCTTTCTAAACCTGCTGCTATTCACATGCTGCCTCCTGACCCTGAACTCAGAGAGAGGACACACAGGGCTCCATTGACTCCACCTCATTAGATCTGATGGGTTCTTCAGCCTGCCAGGATCCTGGCTGTTACCCAGTTCACTTCTTGGGTTTGGATCTTACCGCACATTAGATCAGTTCATACCTTCATTCGAATTCGTAATGCTGCCCATGACAAGGCTGGGAATAGAGCCGGTGACACATCACTAGAGACCTTCCTCCAGGTGAACATCCAACCATTCATCTGTGGGAACAATGAATCGTTTAGGAATTCACTTTACTGAAATGTCATCCAGCTCACACAGCCCCATTTGTTGACAAGGATAACCTAGGAACTTTATTGTATGGATGGGAATTGTGTCTGGCTGCTCACAGGACACACCCAAAATGATGATGACTTAAACAAGATGGTGATTTATTTTCTCTCACATTAAAGACATTCAGGAGGAAACAGTCCTGGACCAGTGTGGCACTTCCACTGTAACTGATGCCTCAGGTTTCTTTCTGAATTTTGTTTATAGCTGTCAATTACATGTATATAAACTTCTTGACTGTGTCAGAGTTTTGTAGTAATGTGCAGCTTTGGATGAATAAATGATAATATACTTATACTACATTTGCCATTATTTCAATCTCAAAAGTATAGGACTGTTTTCTAAATCCACACTGCCCTTAGAAAAAGTAGTATTTTTTTTTTTTTTTACCTTGGTTTAAACTCTTTTAAGTTATGAAATGTTGCACGATTAACTGCTTCTTTCCAAAGAAAGCCTGTTTGAAAACAGGCATAGTTAACTGATTCCATCTTCTTTTTGTGTTATGGACAAATTTAAAAATACCCTCTCCTTATTCATAGCAGCTAGCGTAAACTAAACAATAGTTATCTTCACCAACATTATTCCATGTCGACTATTACTTTATCATAATGTTACAGTGGTAACATGAGCATCTTTTCTCCAATATATTTTAAATTCTGTTCTGAGGAGAAAGTGATGTAATTTCATCATCGAAGGCCTATCTTTACCTCCTGTCACCTTTTTTTTATCCCTAGTTAAAATTATCCTCTATTATTGAAAAGGATGAACAATGAAATTAACTATGCCCAAGTATGAGTCAGCTGAATATGTCCTGACATGGGATGCTCTAAGGTACGCTGCTGAATGAAGAAAGAGCAAGTCACAGGCTGGTATGTGCAATGTTCCATAATGTTACCTCATTGATACTACGTGTTTTCTAAGGATACATGCTGATGTGAAATGAATGCAGGGACCAGGTCTGGAAGGACATGACAATCTAACAATAACTGTTACCTTTGGGGAAGGGTTATAGGACTTCTTACAAAGAGAATGTATTCATTATGCAATGTGCGTAACTGAAAGTTAATTTTTAAAAACCACCATAAAAATACGAGGCCATTTACTACTTCAGGCTGGTATGGGTTAATCTAGTCCTGACACATTATCGTGTTGGCCTTTAGTTACTGGTTACTAATTTCTTTTTTTTTTAATGTCACACATCTGCTCAAAAGTCAATTTGGCTCCCCATTGCCTTGGGGAGGAAGACCCAAATTCCTAGCCTGGCACCCCGCATGGTGTGCTCCATTCTCCCCAACACCATCCCTGCATGCCATTCCTGAAGCACCTTCAGTCCCAGCAAATTGCCAGGCATTTGCTTATGCCGGTCCCATACCCAGAATGCTCTCTGCGTGCCTCTACTCTCCCCAACACCATCCCTGCATGCCATTCCTAAGCACCTTCAGTCCCAGCAAATTGCCACGCATTTGCTTATGCCAGTCCCATACCCAGAATGCTCTCTGCGTGCCTCTTTCTCTATGCAAGTCCTACTCATGGTTCAAGGCCCAGCTGTGACCTCTCCAGCTCTGAGGCCAAGCTCCACAGTCCTTGGCCCTCATGAAGCTGTTAGCCTCCAAGTTCAGCCCTTTTGTGGAAGATCGCAAAGGACACTGATGCCTCCTTTAAACTGGAATTATTGCTGAGGAGAGTTTTTACTTTATAAATTTGACTATGGCCAAGCTTATACTGAGACTATAATAGTCCTGTGAGTACATAGGTAATTATTATTCCTGTTTTATAGAGCAGAAGGCTCAGACAGGTTAAGGGCTCTGCCCAAGGGCACAGAGCTAGTTAGTAGTGGGCTTACTTATTATAAATGGCCAGTTTATTCGTCTCTCCCACAAAACTGAAATCTCATGAGAGCAGAGACCACAACTAGTTTGTTCTTCCTGGTTTGCCTGACACTTACCAGTTGCTAAATAAATATGAATTAAATGAATAATGCCTACGAGCATCTTGAAATGTAAGCACCTTTTTATAAAATGATAGCACCAAACTTTTAGCCCATTTGCCAGGTCTATATCAAGTGGTTCATGGATGGTTCCACTCAGTACCAGCAACCATCCTAGGTGGGGGTTATTCTGGATTACTGTTGAGGATGAGGAAGCTCGGTCTCAGAGGAGTTAAGTCATCTGCCCAAAGTCACACAACAAATAAAATGGGACTGACTCTGGCCGGCTTGAAGAGCTCACCTTCCCTCATTTCAACACCTGCACCCCATTCGTTCTTCTCCAAGCTGATTTGTTCTATTTTTCAGGAAGAGAAACTAACTGTGGGCAGTAGGATGACTTTCTCAGTGTCACTCAACAAATCAGCGAGTGCACGTTCCCAAGAACCCAGGAAGGGTCCACCTGTATGGTCAGCCCTCCCACCTCCATCAGTGTTGGCAGGTCCCTCAGGGTTTGTCTTGATGCCTTACGAGCACACCTGTAGGCACTGGGTGGAAGTCACTGGGCACAGCCCCCCGGGGACCGGTGATGAGAGAGGCAGCCTCTCTTCGCAGGGGTCCATGAGTCACCCAAGACGATGATGGCATTGCCCACCATTGTTGGACTCCTGGGCACTCACCCTGCACAGTGGATGGGGCGGAGTGGGTGAGAACCCGGTGAGAAGCTTAGCAGCTCCCTCCAGATGCGAATTGTCTCTCCCACACTTCCCGGGCTGCAGGGGCCTCCATTAGAGCCCCTGAGGAGTCAGAATCTACACCTCTGCAAATGGGCCCGCTTTCCCAGGGCCCCCCTGCCCAGACCTTCCCTGGGCTCTGTGGGTTTTGACACCTCTCTGTAACCTGGCAGGGGGCCGCGTCGCACCTTTGGTCCAGATAAAAGCTCAGACCTGGAGGTGGCTGGGCCAGCCGCGCAGAGCCCGCCGCCTGGCCATGGCCCAGTCCCCTCCTCTGCAGAGCCTCGACCACTGGATCTTACCCCAGGGTTGGGGCTGGGCCGGCCACTCGGACTCCACATCCCCGGCCTCCTCCTCAGATTCGTCGGGCTCGTGCCCTTGCGACAGTGCACGCGGCTCCTCACAGCCCGCGCCCCCGGCCCGAGGAGCCTCCACCACAGAGACCGGCCCCACGGCGCCGGGCCGA